TTCCCGTAGCTATGCAGAAGACGTTACTTCAGTAACGTCTGGCGCTAGCCAGGGTCCACACAGCTTTAATTCCCGTAGCTATGCAGAAGACGTTACTTCAGTAACGTCTGGCGCTAGCCAGGGTCCACACAGCTTTAATTTGGTATTTGTTTGTTTGTGTGTTTGTTTGTTTGTTTGTGTCACGCCTGGCGCTATCCGTATCTGACGGCAAAAAAGCATAGGATGTTATAAATTTTTTAATTCTCCTATTTTTTCAGGCATATCCTGGGATTCGAACCCGCACTATTGCCCTACATGCATTCCCCCATACACTTCACATTCATGCCCATTCTTCCAAGTTGCTTCACGTTGTTATCCTGCGTTTGAAAGCCCTATTTGAATATTGCGGCCAGCTGTATGTGGCCAGCTGTGTTCGATGGTACGGTACGGTACGGAAGACGGTGTAGTATTACCCTCGATCGTACCTGTCCCGTACCTATCCCCTACCGTACCGTGCCATCAAAGACGGCTGGCCACAATGCATATTCAAATAGGGCTTTCAAATGCAAGGTCACAATGTGAAACAACTTGGAAGAATGGGTATGAATGCGAACTGTATGGTAGAATGCATGTAGGGCGATAGTGCGGGTTCGAATCCCAGGATATGCCTGAAAAAATTAGGAGAATTGAAAAATTTATAACATCCTATGCTTTTTTTGCCGTAAGATATGGATAGTGCCAGGCGTGACACAAACAAACACACAAACAAACAAATGTATGCGAAGTGTATCGGGGGATGCATGCAGGGCACGCGATAGTGCGGGTTCGAATCCCAGGTTATGTCTTAAAAAAAAGGATTTTTTTAAAGAATTTATAACATCCCTATGCTTTTTTTTGTCTAGGTCATCAAGGCAAAAAAAGCATAGCGTAGGGCCCTGAGCTTCCAAGCTCTCTCGTTTGGTATTTTGTTTGTTTGTGTGTTTGTGTCACGCCTGGCGCTATCCGTATCTGACGGCAAAAAAGCATAGGACGTTATAAAAATTTTCAATTCTCTTTTTTTTTTCAGGCGTATCCTGGGATTCGAACCCGCACTATCGCCCTACATGCATTCCCCCATACACTTCGCATTCATACCCATTCTTCCAAGTTGCTTCACGTTATTATCTTGCGTATGTAGCTCCCTCCTAAAAGAAATTTTCCATACCCGCTCCTCCAGTGCACATACTACTTCCGTCACTAGGTCCCAAATCTCTTTTTCTCTGGCCTTGCCTTCTGCCCACACTAAAGCTGGTTTTTCTCGTCTTGGCTACATAGGTTCTGATCGGTGGAATATGCTGCCTTCCACTGTTCGCTCTTGTACAGATTATCGCCCATTTGTTCGTTCATGCTTAACCTTTCTAGGGGCTCCCGTAAGAAGACCATAGGTCTGTGGGAAACACCCTAGTAAAATAAACGAGAGAGCTTGGAAGCTCAGGGCCCTGCGCTATGCTGTGTTGCCTAGCTCATCGTGCATGTTGTTAGAACTGATGGAAATGCTTTTTACATCTACATGACTGTATATCCATTATATTTATTATGCTATTGGCCTACATGCGATTCCCGGGCGGTTCTAAAGGCGGCCCAGCCAGCCTGCTAGTGGGATCTCGGCCTCGCACACAAATCCACACAAAATGTTACTGCACTGAATGCATTCCCCCGATACACTTCGCATATATACTCATTCTCTTGATGGTACCGTACTCTTGATGGTACGGGACAGGCACGGGATAGCGCCAGGCATGTCGATGGCACAAACAAACAAAAATATTGTGGCTTTGCTGGTACGGTACAGTACGGGACAGATACGGGATAGTGCCAGGCATGACACAAACAAACAAACACACAAACAAACACCAAATTAAAGCTGTGTGGACCCTGGCTAGCGCCAGACGTTACTGAAGTAACGTCTTCTGCATAGCTACGGGAATAAAATAATAATAATAATAAGGCTGTGTTTACATGAGGCGTTTCAACCCGGGTTGAGTTCGACCCGGGTCAGATTTCAACCCGCCATGTGCACAAAGTGAATGGCGCGTTTACATGACGCATTGCGCTTGACCCGGGTTGAAATTTCGCCCCGGGTTGATTTCAACCCTCCCCCCAAGGGGAGGGTTGAAACCAACCCGGGTCAAGAAAATCGTACAAACGTACTTCTGTGCGTATCTCGCGCCAGGTTTGAACAGCACTGCAGATGCAAATTTCGCGCGAACGGATTCACGTGACCATGCAAGACTGTAGAAGTGGACTTTTGGCGGCATATCAGTATTTGACCCGGGTCAACTGTCTTCATGTAAACGCTCACCTCTTTTGTCTGTCGTACAGACTTTCAACCCGGGCTGAACTCGACCCGGGTTGAAACTTCTCATGTAAACACAGCCTTAGTTTGAAAGCCCTATTTGAATATTGCGGGCAGCTGTATGTGGCCAGCTGTGTTTGATGGTACGGTACGGTACGGAAGACGGTGTCGTATTACCCTCGATCGTACCTGTCCCGTACCTATCCCCTACCGTACCGTGCCATCAAAGACGGCTGGCCACAATGCATATTCAAATAGGGCTTTCAAATGCAAGATCACAATGTGAAACAACTTGGAAGAATGGGTATGAATGCGAAGTGTATGGGGGAATGCATGTAGGGCGATAGTGCGGGTTCGAATCCCAGGATCTGCCTGAAAAAAATAGGAGAAGTGAAAAATTTATAACATCCTATGCTGTTTTTGCCGGTAGATACGGATAGCGCCAGGCGTAACACAAACAAACAAATGTATGCGAAGGTATCGGGGGATGCATGCAGGGCGCGCGATAGTGCGGGTTCGAATCCCAGGTTATGTTTATGTCTTAAAAAAAAAGGATTTTTTAAAAGAATTTATAACATCCCTATTAGGCACCGTACCGGCGGATAATGCTAGCATAATAACTAGCATAATGACCCATGTGGGGAAGACCGGCACTGCCCTAGCATAAAGCCTCCAAATGTGACCTTGTCTAGCACAATCGATGTGTGAAACTTTTTTTTTTTTTTTTTTTTTTTTTTTTAATGTTTATTTGAATTCGGATAGCTCAACAGTACAGAAGTACAACTACAAAGAGTACCGAATAGAAGGCCCCGAGAACGGGAAACCAAAAAAAAAAAAAAAACAACAAAAACAGCAACATCAAGTTACTGATTATGCACATTGCTTGAAAGCAAATCACAACAATGATTAAGAGTTAAGCTGTCTTTTAGCCAAATAGCCAATTTGACGCGGAAATCTGCGATAGTAGTGCAGGACTTCAGGTCGTCTGGTAAATAATTCCAAACAAGAGCCGATTTACTTGAAAAGGACAGAAAGCCAGACATAGATCTATAGCGAT